GCACTCTAGAAAGGTGTAAGGAAAGGGATGGAGGCAGGGTAGTTCAGGGAATGAAAATGGGAGTCGTGGGAGGCAACGTTTGACCCTGAAATTGGAGTCAGATCTTGGAAGGCCTTGAATGCTAGGATAAGAAGTTTGAATTTTATCTGGTAGGCAATGGAGAGAGACCAAAGTGGGGACACTTTTATATAGGAGACTGCTGTGATAGTGGAGGCAGAGCCTGAATGAAATAAGATGGTTTGCAAGTAAGGGACTCACAAACGCGTCAAGGATCATGAGGCAGCTAGGTGGTGAAATAGAGTCCTGGACCTGGAGTCATGAAGATCTGAGTTCAAATCCTTCCTCATACACTTACTATCTGTGCTTCCCTGGGCAAGTCACTTAGCTTCTTTTTGCCTCACTGTCCTCATCTATAAAATGGGGATAACAATAGCACCCAGCTCTTAGGATAGTGAGGATCAAATGAGTTAACATTTGTAGATGCTTGCAGAATGCCTGTTGCATAACAGGTGCTTAATAAATGTTCGTTTCCTTCATGCGACTTCATTAATGTGGTAAGCTTACAATGTAGGGATCCCTTCTTCCACAACCCATCTATAGGGCAGACTGTTAGTGAATGCCTCTTCAGAGATGAGAGCAACATAAACAGCTGTCTAAATAATCTTCCTGAAGAAAAAGTCTGGCCATATCACTCCCTGCTCAAGTCTTCCATGGCTCCTTAGTGCTTCAAAGAGGAAACCCAAAGTCCTCAGTTTGGGGCGTACAGCCCTGCATCATCTAGCTCCAGTTTGCCTTCCCACACTTCCCCCTGTTACTCCCCTTCCCTCTCTTTTCCAGCCAAATCGGCCTGTTTTCTCTTTCCAAAATTCTGCGCTCCACATACCACCTGGATCCGTGCCTTGGCACATGCTGTCCCCTATGCCTTTCACAACCCAACTCTAGTCTCCCTTCCCAAGTTGATTTCACTGTGCTCCATTTCATGCCCTTTATGTCCTATGCACTGGCTGTTTCCTGAACTAAGCACATCATCTACCACCCCATGCCTTTGTAAAGGCAGTCAGTCTCCCATGGCTGGAATCCTTAGCTCTGTATCTTAGAATCTCGAGTCTCCTTTAAGGCTCCACTTATGAGCCATCCCCTATAGGAATCCGGATCCCTTAGCTGTTAGCGCTTTCTCAAACCTCCTCAAATTACATGTACTGTGTGTGTTTATTTTTCTGTTTACCTGTTGCAACCCCCAGTGGAATGTAAACTCCTCCAGGGCACTTAGTGAATTCCTATCAAATTGAATCAATGAGAGAGAGCCCACATAACTTATTTGGGCCTGAATTGCAATCAAGGGGAAGAAATGAATTTACATAGAAGGTTGGATCTGTTCTTCTATCACCCATTTTTTGTCCCATTCTAGCCATATGCTTTCTTAGCAATAGTGGACACACTGTCCTACTTGAATCCTAATTATGCTACTTCCTAACTCTGTAAGCTTAGAGAAGTCATTTCTCTTCTGTAGGCTGGTTCTCTCATCTGGAATAATAGGCCTGGAAAATAGTGAAACATTCTTCCCCCTTGTGTGAGGGGAGGTAATAGGGAGGGCAGGATGTTGCATACATTGTCCAGGGTTGGTTACTTTTGCTGAAATGTTTTTTTCTTTTCTTTTTAATATGAGAAGTTTAGAGTCAGGAATAAGAGGGGCCCATACACACACACATACACACACACACACACACACACACACATATATGTACATACATATGTATAGGAGAGAGAGAGAGTGCTATGATGTAAAATAAAAACCGTTAATAGAATGATTTTTTAAGTGAAAAAAATGGCGTTAGGCTAGCTGACCCATAAGGTCCCTTCCAGTTCCAACATTGGGTTAGTGACTCCACTTATCGTAAAACTTCAGTATAATCTTTTAGATTCAAATGTTTTCCATTCTTAATTGTTCGTGTTGCACACTCTTTGAAAAAATATTTGTGAATGCCAATGCCCAGACTTTTGGCTAAAACCCCATGATAGTGTTGGGAGTAGATGGGGGGAAACAGAGAGAGATTTGGAAATGCTCTCCCAAGTTTGCCTTGGGCTGGCCCCATATCAGTTTGCTTTGGCGCTCTGAATGGGAGGCTCCGGAGGTTGCTAAAGCTGAGGCTGGCTGGGGCTTATTTGACCAGTTCACTCAGGTGATAAATAGCGACCCAGAAACCAAGGAACACACCTAAGTAAATAGAAGGAGTGGAGTGTGAGAAAGTGCCTCCAGGCTCAGCTCTGAATCAGCCAACAATCTAACAATTTTGATTCATCAATAGCCTTGTACCACCCCCCCACTCCCATCACTCTCCTGGTGAAAGGTGCATTTGAGAATTAATAGACACTAGAAACGTCCTTGTCTCCCATAATTAAAGAGACTCTATGCCCATGCTGGTACTGTATATGAGGTGGTGATGCCCTTCACTTTGGCCTACTCTCGTTGGCTTGAAATAATGTGCCTCATGAGCAATTGTCATCTTGTTCCTTAATGCCCTAAACCCATGGATTCTTGGTAATGGAGACTGGCCCATATTTTGCCAACTTTTGTATTCTAATGAACTAAAACATTGTCAAGCCCAGGCATTTAGACATCTGGTTTTAGAAAAAAATGGATGTGAATGTTTTGGCCATGTGAAGAAAGAGCGGTTTTGGTTTGAACTATTTACTTATTTTCTTATGATTCTAAAAGTCAGAGAGAAAGCAAGGTTGAAGCAAAACCATTCAATCAATCAGTCAATTGACAGCATTTATCAAATATTTCCTAGATGATAGACATTGTGATAAGCCTTAGGGATACAAAGAAAAAACAAACACAAAACCAGTCCCCAGTCTCTAGGAGCTTACATTCTAATGGGGGATACACATACATAAATATTTGTGTACAAGAATACATACATATACAAGAATTACAAGGTAGCCCTGCAGAGAAAACCACTAGCAGCTGAGGTGGGTTGCCTGGGAAAAGGTTCTGAAGCCCTATATCTGGCAAGTGTGACCTTGGGAAGTAACAAACATCCCCTTTCTGGGCTTCATTAGTAAAATGAGGGGGCTGACCTTCCTGACCTTTGAGTTTGCTTTCTCCAATTCTGTGGTTCTCTGATCCTAGACCTCTTCCTGTCATAATCCTTTCCATCTCTTGATGATCACTGAACCCAAGCTTTCTTCTTGAAGACACTATATCTCATGGTGCCCTCTCCAAGGATGGCTACTCTTGCATCACCCAATGCACAAGACCACCAGGAAGAGATGACCAGCTCGTTGTTCCCCTCCATCACATTAGAGACCTTCCCACTACCGTCATTCCTCCTCATTCCATTTTGTCCAGATCCAAGGATCCAGATCCCTGTCATTCATGGACCTCCAGGTCACTCTCCCTTCTTACCCATTAAGTTCAGACCCCAGTTTACTAATGTCTCTGTCCCAATACCTTCCCACTTTGAATAACCTGGCTTCTCTTCCTACAGTCTGCATATGTGGGAATGGTTAGACCCTCCCACCCCTGTGCTTCCTCCTCCCCTCCCCCCACTCCCTGCCACTCTTGGAAACTCAATTTTACCTTAGATGCTAGAATTACTGTCTACATCTATATGTTAGTGGCCCTAGTTTCATCAGTTAAAGCTAAGCTATCTCAAGACCTCCCCAAGCCAGCTTTCCAGGACGGGCAGCTAGATGTACAACCCAACTGCACAAAAACTGCTGAAAGAGGAATGAGAAAAATGAAAGCAAATTTAAAGTGAGAAACACAACAGACATATCAGTCAACAGCACCACAGTGGAAGAGGAGAAAGATATTCATTCATATCTGCTCCCATTGGGAGGGGGATTCAGAGCTGAAGGGCTTCTATGTGACAGGCGATAGCCACCTTTAAATCATTTGTGGATATGCTAAAAACAGGTTATTGAAAACATGCCAGAAACTCCAGCACTGAAGGGAAAACAACACATGGAATTTTTTTAAGGGACAATTTGGCATATATTCATAAAGAATTGTGCTAGATTTAATTAAAATTGAAAAAAACCCTCAGCTCCATCTGGATGTCTCAGCATCAAAGCTAGAGAAGGAGGTGAGCTGGAGTGAGGGAAATAGCCACCTTTTGGTTCTGTTACAGATTTCTTCCTTGGCTAGCAAAAAGGAGAGCCAAAGAAACCTTTGCTTCTAGGTCTGTTTTGGAGGGAAGACCTGGGTTGGAGTTCCCATTCTGCCACTTATAACTTACATGATCATGGGCAAGCCATTTCTCTCTGAGCTTCAGTTTCCTCAACTATAAAACAGAGATTAAAAAGGGTGTCTTACCCTCCCTTCTTGTGAGGTTCAAATAAGACCAGGTCCGTGAAACCTCTTTGTATGCGGTAAAGCCATTTAGAAATGTATTTGTCATATAATCTCAACTGGGCCCTCACAGAAGCAAGGAAATCCTTTTCTATCTTCCTGATTGCTTCACTATCTCACTCACCCCACAGGCTGTACCAAATCTTTCATCTCTCCCGTATACTTTCAGTTCCCAAACATGATGCTTCATCTCCCTACTCCATGCATTTTTACTGACTGTCCTCCCTCCATCCTCACTGCCACCTCCTGGCTTTCCCAGCTTCCACCAAGACTCAGATCAAATACCACACTCTATAGATCTTTCTCAGTCATCCCCCAGATGCTAATGTCTTCCCCTCTGGGGTTGCCTTCTATCTACTCCATGTATGTCTTGAATATACATAGCTAATTATTTGTTCTCTTCCCCATTTGAATATGAGCTCTTAGGAAGCAGGGACTGTGTTTTTGCTTTTCTTTGTATCTCCAGTGCTTAGCACAGTGCCTAGTGAATACTTAACAAATTCTTGTTGATTGAATGATGGCTAATCGAATTTGGTGGTGTCAGTAAGTGGTAATCTTAAATGAGATATTGACATTCCTCTGGCTTCCTCCATTGCACAAGGATCAGATCTAGCTCACCTACTCTGCTGTTTTGTTTTTACAGTGATGCTGAATCCTGAAGGTGAACAGTGCACATGTTTTTCCAAGAGGAACAGCCCACAAGGGAGTTAGCAAAGCCTGACAACAGAGGATGAAGTGGATAAAAATTTAATCAATTTCAAATAACTATAGACACAAAAACCTTTCCCTTTCCCTTGCTGCGCTTACTCTTCATAATGCTGATGACTTCACCTGGACCTGGAGGGACGTACTAAGGCAGACACGCTGGAAACAAGCTCTGGCTTCAGTCCACAAATCCCTGAAGTTCCCTAGTGCTGGACCTGCAGCCTGTGGTTATCCACTTCTCTTTCTCAACCTTCATTGACTGTGGCATGTGACTCTACCTCACTGTACTCACCTGTAGGAAACCTTTACTACCTTACTTGTCCACCTTTCTCATTTCTTCATGGGCCGGAATTCATTCCTTGGTTCTTTTTACATCTCAATGAATTCCTTTGGGTAAACTCATTGCCTCACTTGTTTCGCATGTGTCTGTAAACCATATATGTCTGATGGTAGATGAGGCATCCATCGATAGATTAATTGTGCCATGGAAGTGGCTGTAGCCAAAGCCAGGGTTTCAATTTAAGACGTAATCTCAGGACTGATAAATCTGTCCATAGTTCACGGGTAACTCATAACCCTATTAAAGTGCTGGGTGGCTTGTATCCTACCATCACCATATCTAGCCAAGTTCCTTTAAACAGTCCTTGAGGATTCAGGAAGGAGCTTGTAATGTTAACACTTCCTTTCATGCTGAGCTTTCCCCTGAAGCAGAAATCACCTTCAGCTTTGATCCGTACTTTCCCCTAAAACACAGGCAGGTTCATAAGGCATTACTTACTCTTGGTGTTTATATTGGTGGGGAAGAGAAGTAGAAAAGAATGAATGAACTCTTCCCTTATAACAAGCAAAGAGGAAAAAATGCTGAGGGTTAATTTTATTACTTACACAAGAAAGAAAGAAGGAAGAGAGAGGGAAGGAGGAAGGGAAAAGGGGAAGGAAAGGAAGGAAGAAAGAAAAAGAAAGATAGAAAAAAAGAAGGAAGAATTGATTCAACTTTGACCTTCAAAGTAGTCATGTGACCTGCCCCTTTCCTAGAATATGTAGCAATTTATTTGAGGCAAGTCATGATGAATGATAGTTTTATGTGTTTTGCCATCCATGTACCTCCTGAGGGGCTGGTGGGCTGGTGAAACATTCTTGTGGGCTGCTGGAGTTTTAGGGCTTATTTCTAAGGCTGCCTTAAGGTATAGCAAGGCAGCTGCCCCCTTTTCATTGCCCACACAAGTACCTGCATTCCTAACTATGCTGAGAACTTGAAGGCAGCGTTCCAACCCCATGGTGTCTTGTCTGTTTGCATGCCGGGAGGTTAATAATCCTTTTCTCTCTCTACTCAACAGGGGATGTGTTTCTAGCATAATTGTTTTCCCCTCTCTTGAAGCCAAATCCCCAAGTCCAGGTCTGTATTTTTTTTTCTTCCTGACTGTTCAACCAGGTCTAATTTATTCAGAGAATCTTATGGACAATAGCTGCAAAAGCATTCAAAAACTCTGTCTTGCATTTTTGAAGAAAAGACTTTTTTTTTTCCATTAGTAAGTGCGGAAACTCCTAAGGAAATGATGTAGATCTATGATTTCACTGGCATGGTAAACTCATAGAGGAAACCCTCTACCAATGCAGGGGTGTACCTTCTCTACCACTTGCTGTCTTAAAGAATTGCCTAGCTCACTGAAAGTTTAAGTGATTTGCCCACAGTCACACTGTCAATACTGAAAGCTCATCACTTGCTCTAAAAATGACCTAGAGCATATTGTGTCATTTCAGACTTGGAGGAAAACCAAGTCTGGGTGCTCTCCTAACACCTTTGGAAAAATCCCTTTTCTACTTGGTCCATTTACCATGTTCCCAGATTACTGGTGGCCTCAGTCTCCCCTGCTATTCTAAACCACACAGCTGTCCTTCAGTTTTCCCCAATCCTCAGACTCGTCTGTTCTCTTTCAGTCCATCTATAGACAGAGAGATTCCAGGATGTCAGTTCATTGCCATAAGGTTCTAAATGGGACGTACGATCTGTCTGTGATTGGATTTAGGAACCAACACCTGCCTTAAATCCAATTTAAGAAGAGAATAAGAGGCAAAAAAGCTGCTCAGGAATAGAAACCAAAAGATATTATCTGAGATTTCCATTTGGTTTTGACAGTCATAGGATCATAGATCTGGAGAAGGAAGAGACTTCAGAAGTCATCTAACCTGACTTCTTCTTACTAATACTGAGGAAACAGAAGCCCAGGAGGTGACTTGCCCAAGATCAGACAGGTAATAGTCATCCAAAGTGGGATTTGGACCTAGATGTTCAGACTCCAAAAGTAGGGCTTTTCTGCAGTCTTTAGAGAATTCATTCAATAACATTTTCTCTTCTTCTTTTCACTTAGTGATGCATTTCCTTTTCTTTACATTCCATATCTACGTCATAGAATTACAGAACTGAAAGTATAGGTCTATGATTAGACTATCTCCTTCTTAGTAAGCCAAGCAAGTTCTAAAGAGTCCACATCATTTGGTGGAGCTCCCAGCTGGAGGGGATTTCTAGAGGGCTTCTGGGAATCAGCATTGACAGGGAATAACTAAAATTAATAGATGGTTATAACTTCTTACTTTTTCCCCCAGAGAAAAAAACTCTGGGTCACCAGTTGTTTGATTGTTTTCAGTCGTCTCTGACTCTTTCTGAGCCCATTTTCTTGGAAAAAGATGTGGTTTGCTATTTCCTTCTTCAGCTCATTTAACAGATGAGGAAACAAGCAAATGGATAAAGTGACTTGCCCAGGGTCACAGTTAGTAAGTGCCTGAGACTGGATTTGAACTCAGGAAGAGGAGTTTTTCTGTTTCCAAGATCAGTTATCTTTCCACTGCACCACCTAGCTGCCCCCAAGCGACTAGGCAAGTATCTAAATTCTTTATTTAATAGTTCAACCTGTTACAATGCTCAAGAAGCCATCTGGTCCAGACCTCTTGCCTCTAGGGAGAAGAATATTAAAGTCATCCAAGACAGGACGTATTTTTCAAGATCTCTTGGGATAGATTCTTTATAACCTCCATTGGAAATTCAGCATTTCATCAGCCTTGTAATAAGGAAGTTCATGTCTAGGTTGAACCAAACCTCATCTTGCTGCAATGGAAGAATCTTTCTGTTTCACGGGATCACAGATTTAGAACTGGGGGTAGGGGGAGAGAACTTAGAGGCCATCCAGTCCAACTCCTTCATTTTACAAATGAGGAAACTGAAGCACAGAGAGATGAAGTGACTTGTCCAGGGCCACCTAGCCCTGTGTCTGAAGCATGATTTGAACTCAGGTCTTCTCAGATCCAACTCCAGCATTCTAACCATTTTATCACCTTGCTACCTCTGTAGATATAAGGAGGACTATTGGACAGTCTTCCTTAAATCCTAGAAGGCAGTTAGTAAATTAGTCCTCCTTTTCACTAGGCCAAACAACTCCAATTTCTTTAGTCTTTTCCAAATGCAGTATTTTCCCTCAAAATGTTCTTTTGTGGTTTTTTTTACTTCTTCTTGGAAGTGAAGGCAACAGTCAAATAAGTGTTTGACCAATACTAAGTGTAGCAGAATGTTAATAATAGTAGTAATAGCAAGCATCTTATGGTTCTTTAAGGTTTGCACTTTACCACTTTATACCTATTCTATTGTTTGATTCTCTCAACAACCCTGTAGGTTGGTACCTTTATTATTCCCATTTTATAGATGAAAAAACTAAATTTGAGAAAGGTCAAATGACTTACCCAGGGTCACACTGCTAGTGTCTAAGACAGGATTTGAACTCAGCTCTTCTTGACTCTGTCTCTATCTACTGTGCCATCTAGCTGCCTAATCACTTTCAGACTCTCATCTTACCTAGATCAGCATGACAGAAATCTGTATGTTTCATCAGTGTGAGTATACCCATCACCAATGCAGTCACCAATCCTTTCACACCTTAGTAGAATGTCTGCATGATTTACTGTGGCCAAAGATGTTCACTACTTGGTGGTCACCTCTAGTGGTGACCTCTTCTGAATTTCTTGAGCTGGTCCTCAGAGGACAGATGCACAGTCTGTTGCTGGGTCTGAGTTCAAAGGGTTTTCTAGTTCGGTAGGATATGCCGTAGTTTGCCCATAGCCAGCCTAAGCTTTGAGAACTCAGGATCACCTTCATGCCACTATGAATCATCAAAAGAGGCCGATAGTGGATGCTTTCATCTTCTGACAGCAGACTTAGCAAAATACAAAATAAAAGGACTATCTCTTGGTACTTGGTGGGAGGACACTGATAAGTTGCAGAGCAAACAAAGACTGGTGATCAGGCTACATCAGAAGGGGCTAAAAGATATGGGGATCTTTAGCTTGGAGAAAACAAGGACATAGATAAGGTATAGGGGATTTAGAATAAAACAACCAGGACGGGAAAGAGTTTTGAGTTCATACCATAGGAAGGGGTGTTCACCTCTGATACTTTCTACCTGTGTGGCCTGGACCAGTCATTTAATATTCTTGAGATTTAGCAAAATGAAGGGATTGAGCTAGCAGCTTTTGAGGTCCCCTCTAGTTCTAGATCAGAGAGAAGCTCTTCATCTGGGTTTATGGACCTCCAAGAAGTTCCATAGATAGACTTCAGTGGGTCCATGAACTTGGATGGGAAATCATTACACATTTATTTTTAATATAATTGGTCTCCTTTGCAATCCTATGCATTTTATCTCATGCATCTAAAAACATTATTTGGAGAAGGGGTCCCCAAGCTTCCCCAGACTGCCCAAAGTGTCCAGGACACAGAATAGGGGAAGAAACCTAGCTTTAGATCTATAAACTAGAAATATCCAGCCTAAAGGAGAGAAGATTTAAGGAAGACTTGATTATTGTGTTTGAAGGGCAAATGGGAGGAAAACATGACTTTTTTCTGCTTGGCTCCAGAGATTAGAACTAGGAATGAAGAATAGAAGTTGAATGAAAAATGTAAGTTCTCAAGCACAATGTTTAAGTTAATATAACTGTAAAGACTCCTCAATCATTGGAGTCACTCTAGAGAAGGATGGGCTGCCTCAGGATGCAATAGGTCCCCCTTCACTAGAAGCTGAAAAAGAAAGGCTGGATGACCACCTATTAGGGCTATCGCAGAGGCATCAGTTGGGCTGGCTGCCCTCTGGGCTCCCTTCCAACACGGACATCTTGTTACTCTGTCATTCATTTTGAAATTTTTGTTCAGGGAAGGAGGAGATGCACTTGGATTTGACAGTAAATTAAATTCTCTCAGGGAGATTTCTCACTTCCAGAAGATGACAACACAGGTCCTTGTGTGGAAGGGAGTCCAAGGCAACTTTGACATTAGAGCTGTTTCTTCATGGTCCTCAACAACCAGTCTGTTCCATATGGGGCAAGAATGGGGAAGGCGAAAGCACATAGTCCTTTCCTAGCCCATCATTTGATTTCTCCAGTTAGGCCTTGGATGAGGGGGCATTTCTGGAATTTGTCCTATTTCCTTTTTCTGGGTGGCACATTCAATAAAAGAGCCAGAGGATCACATGAAGCAGAACCTTTTTTCAGCTCAAAAAGATGATCTGGACCCTTTACTCTGATGTTCTTGTAAAATGCCAACATTTCCAAGGCACAAAGTGGCTTAAGGAAACATTA